GGCGGAAGAGGTACGAAAAAGGTAGAAAAAAGGTGGAAAAAAAAGGGGTAGAAAAAAGGTAGAAAAAAGGTAAGAAAAAGGTAATTTCATTTTTCTTTTACCTTTGTCTACACGGTTTACCTTTTTTTTTACCTTGTTTTTACCTCTTGTTTTTAATCTTTTTTTTACCTTTTTTTTTAGCCTTTCTTGATGTTCCACGATTTACCTTCATTTTTACCTTTACGTTTTTGGGTTACCTTTTTTTTGCTTTTTCCACCTTTTTTAAAATTATGTTGGTCAAGCTGTCTCCAATGAGTGGGGATTATAATTCTAAGGGTTGTGGTAAGCTATTTGAGAGACGATCGGCATTTGGACTGGCTCACAGTTCAGCTGCTTGCCAGGGTCCCTGGAACGTACTTGGGTAGCAAAGCCAATGTTGGGAAACCCGCGGTCCAGACAACTTCCGTGAACTGACCACTGAGCCAGTATTGTGGGTTGCTGCAGTTACCTCGTTCCTATCCTTGAAAAACACTCAATACGGCCCACGAATTGCACATGCGAAGTACTACGCTGAGAATCTTGCAGCTTTTTTGGGGACCTCTGTTCTGATAAGAAAAAACGAAGGAAGCAAGCTGGACCAAATGACACAAGTCAACCTGGATCGATGCGTTCGAATGCTGGGCCGTACTATAATACTTAGACTCAACCGACCAGTGCTTCGAGGGACTTCCAGGCTCTGCAGCTACAGAGGAGCCAGGCATCTAGATCAAGGTGTGGTGAAGGTTCATTCTCGATGTTTTGGGTTATGCGCAGAACTTGCCATAATCACATGCCAGTTTGCTTCCAGGAATCATTCCTATCTCTGCAGCGCCTGCACTTCTTCTGCTCCAAGGCCCTGGGCATCCTGTGGGCTTTTGCCCGCTGGAAGCGGTACCGAGCGTGTACTTGCAGAGAGAGCCCTAATTTCCGTGTACGCCTGCGGTCCTCGTACACGTAGAAGCAAACTTTGGATCCTGTTTCTGGTGTTCCGCTGGTCATATCCTGTCAGGCTGAACTCGCCAGAGCTCGAAACTCAAGCAGCCTCTTTTCACTCCAAAGCCAAGTGCATCTCCAAAACCTTTTCAGCCCCTTCCCGCAAGTTTCCAGTGTACCTCATTCTGGCTGGATGCAAGATGCTGCAGCCCTGGAAAGCCTTCTTGCTACAAGTGAGCGACTTAAGGCACCCCACGCGCGCAGAAGGCACCCCACTGCCCTTAGACGCCCCCGCAGGCAAAAGGCATCCCACGTCGGCACGAGGCACTTCAACGGGCTTCAAATCCCTATGTAGACGCCCTTATCGCGTCATGTGTTGCAATGGCACCAAAACTAACAAAGTGTGCGCGAGACGCAGGCTGCGGCTCTGACATCGTTGTACGCATCCAAATCTGCGGGCCCAAATCTCCACGTGGACACCCTCTTGCGTTGCAATGCTACCAAAGCTCACAAATTGCGCGCGAGACGCAGGCTGCAGCTTGGACATCATGGTACGCATCCATGTCTGTCAGCCCAAATCCCTATGTAGGCACTCTCCTCAGATCGTTGCGTTGCAATGGTACCAAAACTCACAAATTCTGCGCGAGACGTAGGTTGCAGCTCCGAAATCATGGTACGCATCCAAATCTGCAGGCCCAAATCCCCATGTAGACGCCTTTATCACGTCGTGCGTTCCAACACTACCAGAATAGCAAATTGTGCGCGAGACGCAGGCTGCAGCTGTGAAATCATGCTGTGTGTTCAAATCTGCGGGCCCGATTTCCATGTAGTACTGAAAGTGCCACGCTGAACCCCATCTTATTTCACAAGCGAAGTGCACAAATCGCTGAAAGTCCTAGCGTGCGCAAATTCGAAATTCACGATCTTTTAACTTTAAACTCCAGAGTCGCGGGATCAGGTCCTTGAACGCAGCAGAAATTGAAAAACTAGTAGGCGCAACGGGTCATTCTTTCTTACATTGCTCATAGCAACACGTTGTTCAGAGCAAGCCCAAAGAAAAGAAAGTTGACAAGGAAGAGAAGGTAGTTTCCCAAAAAAAAGGCACCCCAATATAGATCCTAATATACTATAGTCCTTATTATGGGGATCCCAAAAAGGTACCCCTAATTTTGGGAACCCTCCAGAAGGAAGGCTGCGGCAGCCTGCAGGAAAGCACACAAAGCTTTACTTCTTATGGCATGCCTGTACAGCAACCTACAGGTTGCATGATCGATGGAACAGGCAATGCAAGCACTACTGCAGCAGTCTCAGCAGACAGCAGCACAAGTACAGGAACTAGCAAGATCTTTACAACAATCAACTTCATCAGGATCACAAACAGTAAATGAGCTAGCGTCAGCAATGGCATCATATGCAGGAGCTTCAGCAGAAAGAGAGCAGAAGCTTATTGAAGCAAACACAGAAACACACAAATCAACTGGCGAAGGAATTGTTAGTTCTGCAAACATTCCTTGTTCACACAGGCAGTACACAGAACTAAGGATGCGCAGGAAAATGAAGCCAGAGACCCAGGAGAAGTTAAGTTCGACAAGCTCATCAAAGCTATTTGCACTAACAACCTGGCAGGAGGCAAGGCAGAATTGGCTTGATTTCAGACATAGATTGAGGACATCGTTGTCAGTGGTTGATCCATAGTCACTTCAAGCTTTGGACGTGGTAGAGAAGGAGCCCACAAAGAAACAGCATATGAACAGTTATAAAGAAGGAGGAAAGCGCCCCCGCAACCAAGGCTCGGTCTCTACAATTCCAGCGCCAGATTGTGAACTTCCGTTTTGCTAAGGAAGCTGGCTACAGCGAGAACATCCTCAAGTTTGAGGAACTACTCGAAGAGTCCCTCAGCATGTTCGGCAGCATGTGTTGTTGAACATGAATGAGAACACTAAGTATGAGGACTTGAAGACCTACTTGCTTAGGTACGAAGTAGCCCAGAGATGGATTCAACCACTACTACTAATCTTCAAAGAACTGGAAATGATCATGGTCATGGTGGTCAAGCTGCCATGGACCAATGGATGCAGGAAATGTAGAAGGTTGGAAAGGTAGAGGAAAAGGTAGAAGCTTTTGGAAAGAGTTATGGTAAGTACAATCAAGGATCAGCAGATGGAGTTGGCCACTACTGTCACAAGTACGGTCACTACGAAGCACAATGTAGGAAGAAGATGACAGATCTTGGTACAGGTGAGTTTGCCAGGAATGTACAGTAGAAGGTGATCAGCAGAGTGAGGCCCCATGAAGGAATTCTACATCAGCAACTAACACAGGAGCAACAAGCACGAACAAGCAAGGTATAAACCAAGGAACCTCAAGTGCATCAGCATCATACAGGAATCCTAGAAAGCCGTATGTGAGGAAAGTCAGCATGTTCCACATTGGTGAACCTCCACAGATATACCCAGAACAGCTTGATCTCAGTGAAGATGAAGAGGAATTGGAGATTGAGTATATTGGCAGAATCATGCAAGCAGCTTCGAAAGCATTATCATGGGTATGAACGAAAAGGCATGTGAGTCGCAGGTGATAAAAGGAATCGAAATCGGAGCCAAATTATGCTGACGATGCTTCTGTCCTGAACCCTCTCCTTCTCTTAAGTTTCAAACCCAAACCCCCCCCCTCCCCCCCAGGGCCGCCAGGCGAGAAGCAGTGACCAATGATGCTGACATTGCAGACTGGCCTATCCCACCGGCCCCCCGTGCGTGTGCGCGCCCGGCGTTTGTATGCATTTTCGGGCGCCTGCGCCTCGATTCAGCAGACCACTGCTGCTGTGAGGAGTTCTGAGGCCTAGGATGACCTGGTGCAAGCCTTGACTGCACACCTTGCTTCACAAGGAGGCTGCAAGGGTTGCAAGATTGCAGCTGAGCATGGATGCAGTCAGAACGCCAAATCGTCACAGGTAACTTGCTGGGATTGACATGTGGCACCACTTTGAGATGAATGAAGGCAAGCTCAAAGCATTGCATGCAATGCAATTGCGTGCACATCTTGAGAGACAAATGCCGGTCCTCTTGAGGCTAAAGATCTCGTTCCGAGGCCATTTGCCTCAAATCTCAGCCAGCTCATCTGCACAAAAGTTTGACCCGCCAAACATCAAGCGGCTCTCGCTACCCCACAGCCTTACCTGGCTCCGGAGCTAAGGCCAGCTGCTAGGCAAGTTCGCGGGTACCGGAAAAGATCGCAGGGCGTCAGCTTTGGGGAGTCTGAAGTTTCTGGGATTGTCAAAGCTGGCAATTTGTCTTAATTAGCATTGTTGCGTTCATGCATTGGATTCCACTGTTCGGGCATGCCTCAGGGTTTGAAGATCAAACTGCAGCTTCTTGCTTGGTAATAGCTTGTCAGAAGAAGCTGTGCTCAGGATCTTTTTGAATGCTTGTCAATGCTGCTCCCGGGAATTCACAGCTCACTGCCCCGCTTCCCACCATACATCTTCAGCAGTCGAACGAGCTCGACGTTTCTGTCTTCGAAAGCCAAATCCAAAGGAGTCTTTCCATCTGACCGTTTTGCATTCACGTTCGCTTTGGCCAACAAGAGGAGCTCCGTAGATTCGACCCTCCCGTGGGAAACCGCTCCATGCAGGGCAGCGGATCCAGTGCTGGATCTGGCTTCAATGTTCACGTATGGTGCTTTAACCAAAACTTCCACTATAGTCTCCTCCCTGAGGCCGGCCGCTGCTTTATATATGAGCGGGAAAGCCAAAGCCCGTCTGTCTTGTGTCTTCTCGTTGAGTGCCTCTTTGAGCGGTTTGCCGCGCTGCTCTGGGGAGAAGGAGCCTTCCCACCACATGACCTTCCGGAGTTGCTACATTTGTTTCCAACCTATCCTCCCTGTCTAGTTTGGCTATATGTACCCAGCAAAGAGGCCAGCTGACAAGACAACCAGCTGAAGCAATCAGGAGGCCTTCTGGAGTTGCTTAAGCCCGTGCATGATGATCTGCATGGGCTGAGACAGGCTGCGCGTTTTCTGCAGCAAGTGCACTGCTTTGTCCAGCGTCTCATCCTTGAGGAGATTATTGAGGACCCCGGACATGCAGTGCAACTGAACACCCTGGATCAGGTCTCCCTTGACCTTCCTGCTACCCAGGCCCCCCCACATCCGGCTCCATGAGGGATACCCCGCTACTGTTGTTGAATACGTATGCCCAGTTCATGAGTATATGACATGCATTGGGTGGCCGATGTTGCAGGCAGGGGAAAGAAGATTGTCATGGCCGCAAGGGATCCTTGAGGATCTCCATGCCAGCGGAGACACTTCCCACAGCCTGCCATACAGATGCACAGGAAACAAGTGATGATGTCCATGATCGGGGATCAAGCTATCGAGCCGCTCAACTTGAAAGCTAGGCTAGGCAGGCTAGGCAGGCTGACGCAATGTCTCGGAAACACTCGGTTTGGATTTCTGTCAGCATGTCTTCAGCTTAAAGCCAATGGCCTCGAGTGTCATGTCCATGGACCTAGGGTTCTTGGTGCCGGCGCCCTGTTGCAGCTGCTGGATGTCGGCTTTCATCTTCGCAATTTCCCTCTTCATCTCCTGGAATTCTTTCTGGGTAACCTCAGCAGATCACCGTCACCACCCTGAACTCCCTGGTAAACATCCTTCTAAACCCAGAGGGCATAGAAACCAGAACATGAACAACGCAGGCTAGAGTGGCAAACGGGTCCATCACATCT